ATATATATTTATATATATTTATGTATATTTAAATATATTTATACAGGAATATTGAATTTCTCTTGCCAATACCAAAGAATAAATCAAGACGAGATTTTAACGGAACAATCACCCACGCACGCTGAGTGAAAAGCAACAGTTTTGGAAGAAAAAATTATCCGATGTGTAAAATTTCGGTCGCAAATGTCATCAACTGGACAAATTTTAACACCTTTACTTCAAATGAAGAGGTCAAAAATCTTATGAATTAGTTTTTTGCTAGCGAAGAAAATAAAATTATTAGCGTCTAAGAAAACTAATTGAGGCATACACTAGGCAGGTACTTGTTGTACAAGTATGACAATCATACGTTTTTGATTATCTGTTAGAGTTGTTGATAATTAATATTTGTGAAAGTATTGATTGAAGAATGTTTGTAATGTTATAATATTTTGTTATGATTAAAATGTGTATGAGAAAATGGTTATTTTTGTAATTGTAAATATGCGTAGTAAATTTAATTGGTTTGATTGGATAGTATGATTGTATAACTTCCTGTATCAAAGTGCTAAATGTTGTTATTAAAACGGAATGTATCAACTTTTGGATGATACGGGAAGGACACTTATTCGGCGAAGGTTATTTCGTTATCGTTCTGAGACGCAATATAGAGTTTAAAATTTATTTTGGGACGTTATAAAATAATCAGCAAAAAATACTAACCTATCGCAACGTTGGATCATTATTGCTTTATCTCGTCGCACGTGGTCGGAGGTCGTTTATAAAAAACAGTTTTTCCGAAAATTTAGTAGATTCTATTTTGAGGCTTATGTTTGAAAACAAGGTTACTTTTGGGTTAAATTCCGTTTGAGATGGTAACAAAGAAAACGCGTTTGACAATAACTTTTATTACGCGATTGAATATTTGTTTTTGCAATTGTCCTTATCAGCGATAACGACCGGATAATCTGTTGTTGTCAACTTATTTCGCCTTTGTTACCTTCAGCGTTCCATAAAAAAGGACATAATGTAGATAACGGATTTCATAATGTACCCGTAAACGCGTTATGCACCGACGTCGGAGAAAATAAAATCAAACAAAGGATAGGTACGCGAAAAAAGACAATACTTAATTGGCGATGGCGCGACGACTTTCTTTGTCTGCTTTCTCCGACGAAAACGTTAAAGAATAATAAGCGTTATTAGAAAAGTAGGTCTTGGTTACGGCCATCTCCCACCACTTTATTTTCTAATCGCCTGTTATGCCATTCTTTTTCTACATTCTATTGCAAAATAATCATCTCAATATTTAATTAAAATAAAAATGTAGGAATTCGGTATAACTAATTGTAAATAAGAAAACAAATTAGTATGCGAGATGTCGTCAAACTTGACATTCTACACGTTCAAAGTCACGGTAACGAGTGGCCACAGAGAAAGTTTCCGTAATAATCGCCCGTTTATGTAAGAGACAATGAACTTGAAGATTCGAGAACTCGCAGGTTCCCGCAGGACACAACAGAAACTACACAATATTTACTTGTAGAGAGGTCCGGTTAGATCCGCGACTTAGAAATCTGCCTACGTCACGCACTTTCTTATTCCGGTCGATTCTAAAAGAAAGTTCCGCTCTTATTGAGGACGTTAATTTTAGAAACTTTAACACCGTTAAAGATACACAAATATATAAATTTTAGAAACATAAAATAATAATTATTAAGAGTAGGTATGATTTCGAAATTGGAAGCGTTCGTAATGATATTTATGTTTCTTTGTAAGAGCGTGGCTACATTTGTGTGTGCGTCAATCTAAAGGCCATCTACTTAAAGTTATTGGTTGTCGTGCTACGAGTAGACATATTTCTGGGAAACGCATTTATACCCTCCTTTGTTTCGTTTTAAGTTTTGTTTTTAATTTCAAGTACCCCGTATAATATAATAGATAGAAATCAGCAAATTTAGATTTCATAAGAAAAAAGTTTTTATCAAATTAATTTATATAAATTAAAATAATGAGAATTGTTGAATGTTACGAAGAGAGATTCAGTTAACGTAATCTGAATCTACTAACCTCGTTTTGAACGTTACAAAGGTGACCCTGTACTTTTCTAGGTCAGAGGCATCGACGAAATTTCCCACTTTCAGTTTTCCTCCCGTCTATTCTCGATTTTCTATTTTTAAATAAACATTATTGAGATGAACGTTCTATTTCGAGAGAATGTCCCATTTTTATTTAAATCTTTTTCTTATTAAATATTTGCGATTACTTTTTCCATTTAAAAAGTAAAGGAACAATCAGAATATACTTGAAATGAGGCGAAAATGGGGACTTTATCAGATGAATTGCGTATACGTCAATAAACCTTTTGTCGAGGCGTAGAAAAAAAAATCAATAAATAAAATGTATTGCATAACTGGAATGTAATTATTTGAGGAGTTAAGTGTATAATAGATTCAAAACAATACGCAGATAAGGCCTTATCTTTAGAACACATAAAGGAAGTGACAGAGCTACTAATTCTGTACAAAAAAATGTGTACGTTATCAGATAGAAAGCCGGGAAAAACAATTCCAGAAATTATCGTCAATCGTCCGTTACTAGAATTAGATACAAAATTTACCCGGTGAATCAATCTTTCGTAATATTGCATAAGCGGCCAATTAGTTATCAAAAGATGACTCATCCTAAGATTTAATTCTCTCATTATACGTAAACGTTACTTACCGGCCTTATAACCAAGGCCATTACATAGATTTGTTTTCATATATTTATTTCTTGTAGCATTTTTGTTTTCTAAAAATCATTTAAAAACGTTAAAAAGATTTCATGCTCCTCACAAATTATTACCGATTACATTTTAACAAATAATAATTTGTTTTCGAGTTAAACGCGAAGGTCGATGCACTTATATCATCGCAAACCGCGATAAAAGACCGAAAAGTCATCTAAGTGACATCCATTTTTAGATTTTCTTTCTCTCACTCAAGTTTAGTCATTAACAAATTTAATCGATTTTAACATATAAATCCGTATGACGTGTTATCGTTGATAATAACGGATGATGCATAAAACGTTAAGAGAAGGCAATTATATTAGAGATATAGGAAGAACAATGATCGTTAATCGTGAGTAACGAGTGTGAATCATAATCTTTTTTTAATTTTTTTTTTCTATTATCCATCCTGTATAATAAAATAATAATTATTAGAAATTAATTATATATATATCAAAATTTGCATTTTTGATTAAACTAATTAATAAAATAAGGTAAAATTAAATAAGAAAATAAAATAATTGAATAAAGAGAAAGTGTCCACCCTGTATATAGTTCACTTTCCATTGAAAGTGCGCTGGCTAAAATTAGCCGAACGTTGTCTAGGTCTAGAGTCTGGCCTATTCTGTGTCAAGAGCGGCGATATTGATTCAAGCAAATGCCTAACTTGTTCTAAATATAAGCAGAAAATCTGCAAGTCTCCGTCTAGAGTTGGAGGGTTCTTTTTGGGAGTCCGGTAAAAATAGGATACCGAGGAGCGTATTTTCGCCATTAACCTCGATATTTCGTCGTTTTTCGTCCTCGGCTTTCCGATGACCCTATAGAATCCGGCGTGCACGTTGCACATTTTTAAAAATAACCAAGGATCCGACTTTCTTTCTTTATTAAGTTCGGCCGAGAACTTTCCATGAGAGGAAAACTTTTAAGTTCTCGAGAGATTTGGTTCTCGGCTATTCTAAATGATCATTACGAAAAGATTCATTACAAGATGTGTGCAAAGGAAGAGGGATTTACTTTTTTTTAAGTACATACCGGGTGGTGGTGAAAAAATTAATCCGTTTTCGGGGTGCATTGCGGGAACGTAAAGAGGTCCCGAAGACCTGCGGATGCCCTGTAGTGATGCAATGATGACCGCCGGCGAAGAACGAGCCCACAAACACATAAAACACGCGTGGATCCGCGAAGTCCGAGCAGTCGACTGTGCGTTGCAAGCACTTAGTACAGCACGGTCATAGTGAACGAGCAAAATGCAGCAATAGCAATGGTGGGACTCGGCTTTGCGATAGTGACCCACTTCGATGGTCGACCGTAGTAGGCCACGGCTCGAAGTAGTGGTAGAACGATGAAAGCAGAGAAAGGACGTCAAAAAGGAAATGCGGCCGGAGTAATATGTAGTTACGTGAGATTACCAGGGCATAATGTGTTTGTGTCCCCGTTTCAGAGGCGACTTTCGGAACGCTCTATGCGCTAGCAGATCGAACCTGCCTGCTACTCACCAACTCTTGCATTCCCTGATAAAAATGAAATCGCTAAACAGGGTTAACTCGCGGAGAGAGTACCGGTAGACCACTCTTTTCAACCGCAATTAGTCTCTCTACTTTCTTCTTATTCGCCACTTCTTCCACGTCAACCATACATATCTCTTTTTTTTTACTACCGTCAGCTTTTTTTTAATAACACCACACTTTTACTACAACTATTTTACCATAAAACAATTTTTACTACTTTTTAATAATATATTACATTAATCATTTTTTTAATATATTTGCCACATCACCATACCAGTTAATCATAGTAATATATAGTGATAGAAATAAAAAATCACAGAATTTACAGAAAGAGAAAAGTGAAAGGTTTACACTTTCCGTCTTCTAGGGGATTTTGGTCTCAATATTTTTGGTTTTTTGTGTGAGAATAAACAGATCAGATTCTAAGAGTGTGACACAAAAAAGTATACGCACACCCCCATAACACACCGTTTTGAGTAATTTATGTTAATTAGAAGTATAAAATGTTTATTAAATGAATTAGTATTAAGTATAATACTTGAAATTGAAGAATTAACAATAATTTTGGAAAATATTGCGTTTGAAACTTATACTCTTAGGTTTAATTTACAAGACATCGTTAAAAAATCGTTTATCTTCACTTAGCCGAGGTCGCTTGCGGGCGAGGCGCTGGGTCTGATACTTAGGTAAATCGTTCTCTTGATGTCTTAGAAAGTAAAGTAGATATACAATACTTGAATGAGAAATCGTTTATCTTCATTTCGCCGAGGTCGCTTGCGGGCGAGGCGCTAGATTTCGCTAGACCTCGGCGAAGTGAAGATAAACGATTTCTCATACAAGTATTGTGTACTTAGTTTACTTTCCAAGACATTACTTCACCGAGGTCGCTTGCGGGCGAGGCGCTGGGTCTGATACTTTATGGACACAAACCTTAATTCAATGAAATTTTGTATTTAGGAGCTGATATTAAATCCAGCGCCTCGCCCGCAAGCGACCTCGGCGATATTAGATAATAATAATAACCTTTATTGTTTTCCATATAATACACATCAAAATAAAAAGAAATTCACTAATTCAAAATAGTTTAAATCAAACAAATAAGTATAACTAAATAATTAAGGAAACAATATTAAAGGTAATATCCCAGCATTCACATAGTTAAATTATGAGGTAATTATACCTCAACCATGTTGTCAGTCCGTAAACTGAGAACACACCATTAATTCTGTCGAACAGAATTGTGAGTGGTTAGTATGGTGCCCATGATCAACACTCCGCATAGTGGTCGGTGATTTTAATATATACTGTAGAATAGATTGGATATAAATTATGTATACTGACATGACATTCGATTTCTGAAAGACTTCATTCGAGGGGAACCTCACACCCACATTAAGAAGAACTTTTAATATTAGCTTTTGCAATGTATATATTTTGTCAATGTAAATGTTTGAAGCTCCTCCCCAACCAGTAATACCATATCTCATAACTGATTCAGCCATCGCAAAGTAGTATGATTTTAAAAATGTGACGATAATTTTTTCATTAAGAACATCATCGACCTTAATTTTTTACAGACATTGTGCTCATCCCACCTACAATTCTGGTCCAGTGTCACACCAAGATATCTTACAGACCTTACTTTATGAATCTTTGGACAATGGCAACATTGACTGACATGAATCAGCATGCATCACAATACCGTCCACTGACAGTTGTATACTATTGTATGTAGAGAAGGTTATAAAGTTCGTTTTTGCTAAGTTAAGGGTTAGTTTATTGCTTTAAAGCCATCTTCGCAAAATTCTCAAATCAGCAGTGGCCAATGAAAATAAATTAGGCCAAGATATATTTTTGAATAGCAAGACCGTATCGTCTGCCTAGTATAGTCTGCCTGTATAGCAAGATGAAATCGTTCTCTTGATGTCTTGGCCGAGGCGCTGGGATTGATACATTATCAACACGAACCTCAACTCAACTAATTTTATGACGATGTGATATCAAATCTAGCGCCTCGCCCGCAAGCGACCTCGGCGATGTTAGATGAAATCGTTTTCTTGATGTCTTAGAAAATAAACTAAACACACAATACTTGTATGAGAAATCGTTTATCATCACTTCACCGAGTTCGCTTGCCTGCGAGGCGCTGGGATTGATACATTATCAACACGAACCTCAACTCAACTAATTTTATGACGATGTGATATCAAATCTAGCGCCTCGCCCGCAAGCGACCTCGGCGAAGTGAAGATAAACGATTTCTCATACAAGTATTGTGTATTGCGATTGTGGTGTATTCCCCACCTCAATCGCCTGATTAGGACGTCAAATTCGAAAAATGGACATAAAAAATAAACAGGACCTCAAAAACATAATAATTGAGGAATAGAAGAGAATTTCAGTGGAAACCACAAAAAAGTTGGTATCTTCTTCCCCACCAAATATTAATACTATGTTTTTGGGGTCTTGCTAATAAATATAATTAGGTGTATTTATACTTCGCTGTGTATGTTGTACTTTTAACATGTATAAATTACTCAAAACGGAGTTTTATCAGGGTGTATGTGTACTTTTCTGTGTCACTGTAACATAACTCTTAATAATTTAAGATTTTTCTATGATGTCATAAAATGATAGATATTTAAATTTGATTTGTTGGCTAAAAGAAAGATAAGAAAAAGTTTTGAGTGACTTCACCAGATTTTGCCCAAAACAGGTGGTTGCTTAGATAGTGAAAACACGTGCAAACTCACATGTGCTCGACCATTGTGGTTTGGAAGGGAGAACTGCCATTTGTGCTAATCCACGCTACTTTGTTGTTCTGACTCTTAATTATTAAAAAAAACTGAGATAAGTTGCATATATGATTTCCCAGAAAATACATTGTTATTTATTTTTTTTACACAATGAGATTTATAGATATTATTGACTATTTATGTTTTGCTTATAGTTATGTACAACAACATATATAGTTTATAATTTACAAGTTTGTTGCGTTTATTGCTTTGAATAATAATTCAAATAGACTGTGAAATGTGTTTGTTAAGATTGATAAATTTTTAAACAGTTTATAGAGGACACATCATATGTTGTTATAAGTTGTTACAAACGTGCTGAGTCAAACGAACACGCTTAATGTAAATAATTTAAGGACCGAAGCGATGGATTGTCGTGCAAGTGAGCTGTGAAACACTGTATTTGATAAACACGACCCGATGGGACGATAACAATCAGCCATGTCTGTACCCTCCACGGTCAAGCCGCCATGAACAAATTTGACCTTGCACGGACAATGCATTTATTTTGCGGATGGTTTAGGTCGTTCATCACCAAGTGCATTGGCTTTTTATCACATGAACTGATATAAACCGCGGTTATTTGAGCATTGTTGCGACACTTTTTTTGGTAAACAAATAAAAATTAATAAATTTTAAATAAAAGTACAATTTTTATTGCTGAGGTCAAACTTCCTTCCACAATAAAATTTACTTGCACTATCAATTCGTTAATTACGTTTGCGGTCCAGACTCAGACGGCGCGACTATTTGATAAAAAAAAAACACATACACAACAAGTCAAGTTGTTTGTTAAGTAATTATTATGAAATGTAGGTATAGTTTTAGTCGTTCTATAACATCAACTAGTTTGTTTACGGCGCGTCCGCACTTTGACACAGCACGTGAATTCTTAATTGCGTAACTATGTAATCAAAGACGTTTGAGGAAATCGACGTTTTTGCAATGATTACAAGAAAGCGAGCGTAATAAAAAAAGTGAGAAAAGAAGATGAAAGAAACAAAGAGTACAAAGGAGAGTATTTTTCGACCGCAGCGTTAGGTCATTGAAATAACATCGCGACGCTGTTGACATGTAGAAAAACATGTTATTTTTACATTTTGTTTATCGGGCGCATAATACGTATTATGGCATCAGCGGTTGGTGATTATTGATAACTGATGGAATTGTTTTTGCCGACCGCTTTGTTTCGACTACCTCAATATAATTTTTATAATGATTTAGGTTCAATTAATTTATACATTAATGTATTGATTAGAATGGCGGCGGAGGTAAAGAGCCGAAAACGGCGTCGTCTATCGGGCATCGGACCCAAACGTGAAACGAAATGAGTCAGGAGAGTTTGATGAATCGCGCGGAGCCCCAAATGGGCCCCCAATGCAATGTGCGAATGGACTCCAGGCCGATGCACTTGTGTTTTCGCCGGATTTGAACGCCCGACGCCCGGTCGAGAAAAAATAACTAAAAATAAATTTTATTTCGTAGATTGACGAACCCGAGCCTCGCTCTTTGTTCACCAGGGCCAACGGCGCAAAATGGCGAATAAATAAACAAACAGTCAACTTAATTATAAACACGATGATAATGATATCGACAATATTGTAATAAATAATTTCCATTATGGAATTGCGTTGTTATGATTGACCACCTTAAGGACTTTTGCAAATCATAAAAGTCTAGACATCATTTCAAACAATCAATTGCAAATCCGTTCAACTTTTGATAAAAATATTTTTATAAGAGCAACAAATTGGCTGCTATACCTAGAAGCTAATACCAACCATTAATAAACAACCATAAATATAGATGTTTTAAACCTTGCAGTTACTCACGACGTAAATAAGCAACAAACAACCTATTCCACGTAATGCGTAGATCCGACACATCATTCGCAAATATCTGGAAATTAAAATTGCGTCTTACATAAAAGTAGTTGTTTATAATATCA